CCCCCCCCCCCCAGCATCTTCTGCAGCAGAACAGAAACAACCCCAAAACCTGTAGGCTGTTAAATTATGCTACAGCAATGGTAGCTAATTGATTTCTGTATGGATGCTGTGGGATAACAGCATCCATCACCGCTGCTCTCCTCCTGCAGTATTGGACATCAAACCCTTAGGTGCCGTTCAAGAAATGCATCAGGTTGTGTCTTTATATGTCTATGTGTTTCTTAAGTCTGTAAGTCTGTGGCCCTGTTGGTTTTATAGTAGCTGAGACCTGAGATGCTCCTAAATTTTTAATAGCTGGAGTCCACACGCACCTCGGAGGAGAGCTGGGTCCACTTCCAAGTGGGATAAACAGAGCGTTGTCTTGATATGAACATGAATGTGACATCTGACAGCAGCACGCCCATGTTCTTGCTCGTGAATGCAGTCAGGCAGATGATGGCTTCCTTACGTTTAATGGTGACTTTGCCTTTAGTTTGTGGGTTGGAGCTTGTCAGAGCTGACGTGCGGTGGCTGCGGATGGGCGGTTCCCACAACAGCTCCGGAGCCGGGGATTGCAGGGGTGCAGGAAGCAGCTCCGACAGCCTTTCCCAGCACTTGGATAAACAGTCTGGCTTTTAAAACCTAAGGCTGGATCCAACATCAGTATAAATCGGTGCTGGCTTCCTTGGGTCTGTGTGAGCTGGCACAAGGATGATCTGCCTGGGAGCTGGAGGGGTCCCAGCTTCTCCAGTGAGGGAGGAGGGGGCCGTGGGGGCCTCTGGGCAGTGCAAGAGCCGTCAGGACAAACAGCGAGCAGTTCCTGTGTGGGAGCTCTCACTTGAATAGCAGGCAACGATCAGGAAGGTTTTATCAGGGCCTATGTTGGTTTTGATTTTTTTTCTCTTGTTTTTTTTCCTCCTTCTTTTCCCTGGTCTTGGCTTGTCCTTTATTTGAAGGCTGCCAAAGTGGGGGAGCTGAGCTTGGGGAGTGTGGGGGAGCTGAAGAAAAGAGTCTTTCACACTGATGCCTTTTGTGTTGCAGGGTATAAATGGCTGAAGCTGTCACTGAAATGCAAATGTGTGTTTTTCTGCTGATCTGAGCCACTTTTTTTCCAGTAAACAAGAGTGCTGCGTGTTTTAAAAGCTGCTTCCATCTGACGCCTTGGCATGGCTTAGTGCAGAGTTGATGCTGACCTCAGGAATTTGGTGGTAGCACATCATGGTGAGCATAGATGGCATGTGGGGCTGGGGAAGGACATGCATCCCCCTTGCCAAGATGGGGTACAGAGGCTGAGAGAAGCAATGGTGGAGCTGGGTGATTCCCAGCTGTTTGGGTGATGCTCCTGCATCCTGGGTTAGGCCAGGGCCTCCCAGCCACATCTCAGGGCACTTCCACGTGCTCATCTCAGGGGAACTCCCCAGTGAGATATTCCCCAGCGGGTGGAAATGTCAGTGTCCCCTTCTTAAGCCCTGAGCACTCTGTTTTAAGAACATCCCCTGGCTCATTTGGCACTGCAGATTCAACCACAGAGCCAGTTCTCATCACTGGGGTGTGGGATCGCCTTAGTTCCTACACCATATACCAAAATGTTTCAACATTCACTGGGTGTGGGAGAAAAGAAGCATCCCTAAGCATTATGACAGCATTTACCTGAGAGACCCAGTTCTGGTGTCTGCTCTTAAATGCGCTGTTTTAGACATCAGAGCAACTCTTCTCACCTTTTTTCTTGCTGATTTGGGCCTGAAGCAGGATGTGGGTGGTGGAAAACCTGTCTATGTGGTCAGCATGTGGGGATGTTGGGTGGAAGCAGCAGGCAGCAGCCTTGGAGTCAGCAGGAGGAGGCACTTGGGTTCAGTTTTCCCATAAACCATGGAATTTATGGATCTAAAACCAAGTGTACCTCCCCTAATGGAAATGTGCCCTCTCTCTTCTCTCCAAGCATGATTACACAGCAGAAAGGTTCCACCACCACTATTATTAGCTAATTTCAAAGAGAGAAAGTGTTCCACTTCCAGCAGGCAGAGAAAAAGGGAAGGCCAATTACTAATGACAGACAAAGATGGAGATTTGAGCATCTCCAGTTTCCCCCTAGAGCTGCCCGTTAAAGGATCCACGTGTCCCCAGCAGTAAGTCACAAGAGCTTCTCAGCTGCTGTAAATCATGTCAGCGGGATTGATATGTGCACGTCCGGATGGCATTGCTGCCCTCAGTTCCTGCCCTGGAGAGCCACCACCTGCTGCTCCTGGGGAGGCTCAGATGGTTGTGTCACGGGGTAAAGTACAGGCAGGGTCTCCCGGCGGGTTTGTCTGACTAATGTTACAGTCTGTCACCTATATCTGAGCTCATTGGGCTTAAAACGCACCGGGGGTGAGCATATCCTAAAACTGTCGTCTCTCTCCCCACCTCTCTAACAGCAGCCAGGGCGCAGGGTTGGGGAGGCTGGGTTTGGGGAGATGAATGCCGTGCTGGCAGAGCACCAAAACCCCTGCTCTGTGTCCCTGTCAGCCTCCCAGAAACATTTAAACCGGGAAGGACTGCTGGAGGCCACCTAGCCCAAACCCCTGCCCAAATCAGGGCAGGCATGGGACTGCCTCGGTTTTGCATGTCTCAGTGTCAGGCGCCCAAAGCAGAGTTTAATCACCCTCGTTGCAAATAGGGGTTTTTGTTCCTTTCCATCTAGTCTGAGTTTCCCTTGCTGCAGCCTGGGGACTGCTGCTTTCCATCCCCACGCTGGGCACGTCCGTGTCAGGAGGTGCGTTACTTCTCCCCGTGGGAAAACTCGATTCACCTCCTCCCGGAACGCTGGCCGGGTCAGGGGCATGTCCACCGTATCCCCCCTGCAGCTTACCCGGAGCAAGTCCCACCCCTCCGCCGGGACACGCGGGGATTTGGGGCCAGACAAGAGGCTGTAAGGGAGGAAACGGAGGAGCAGGAGCCCTCAAGGATTGGGAACAGGCTTCGGGAAGAGCAGGCTGAAGCCAGGGAGCAGGAGCACCGGCAAGCTGCGTGAGGGGCTGTGCAGAAACTACTCGGCTCCTTCAAATCCCCCTCACGCTACCGCTGCTCCTCCCCGTGATCTCCCCAGACGGTTTTTCCCCCTTTGGCTCTCACGTACCTGGTGTGCGGTGTCCTGGCTGCCCTCGGCTCCCGTCCCACTGCCCGGAGGAGCAGGATGGACCCCTCGGCCGCCCGCAGCCCTCGGGAGCCAGGCGAGCGGCGGCTGGCCCCGCAGGAGGGTGTCTCTCCCTCTGGCAGACCGACTGCCGGGCTCTCCCCGAAGGGGAGGGACCAAACTTTGCCTTACTTTCCAGACGAGACAATCTTTCTGGGAGAGATTTTCCCTGGCCCTGGAAAACAAGCTTCCGGCATGGAGCCATACCAGAGAAACGCTACACGCCCCGGAGCACCCTGCGGCTGCTTGGATGTCGGCTGTGCCTTTGCAGGGCAGGGACGGGGTTAGACACGGGCTTGTCTGCATGTGGCGCTGAATTTCTGGCTTTGCTCACAGGCTGCCAAGCTGCTGGCATTAGGGCTGGATTAAGCACCGAGATCCTCGTGAGAAAATCCCCCCGGCCAGGCTGTGGGGACGCTTATGGATGTGTCTTCTACAAGACCTGCAGCAGGGGATCACTGCGCTTTGGCACAGGGTTCCTCCATTAAAATCCAATTTTTTTTTTTTTTTTTCTTCCGGTTTTATGAAAAGGGATAACAACACCCTAATGAAGCTGATCCCACTTCTGGGGTGCAACTTCTGGAGTGGTTTAAGGTGGATGGAGCACAGGTCCCTACTAATGGGATGGATCTGCAGCCACACACCACCACCCCCTTTGCACAGCCGCAGCGTTTGCCCCCTCAATAATGCTGAATTTAGGGAATTAGCCCTAAAACCAGCACCAATAATAAAAGGTTAGTTTTGTGAGAGATCAACAGTTTGATCCAGCTGATGAAACAGCCATATGAGCTTCAAGGCTAAACAAAGGGAGGCAGTAGGGGAGGAAGGGAAAGTAAAATTTGACTTGGCCCGAGTTGCTTATGAAGCTGCACCTATGCAGTGTCTCCTTGGAGAGCTGGTGAGCTCCTAGGGTGGGATCATCAAATTCTCTTCCCCTCCCCTTGCAGGTTATGTGTGTGGATATGATCTGAAACTAGCAGAGCACAAAGGTGCTTAAAATCCAAGTTATATTTTAAAACTTTGAATTTTGTTGGCATTTCCTTGGAAAATAAGAAGAAAGTTGTATGAAAAGGTCCAAGATTTTTTTTTTGTACTTTTGTCCAGCACTCATTTCAGTGATGGACTGGATGCATTAAAGTGTAACATTTTCAGGTTAGATTTAATGCTGATGAAAGGTCTTGGAGGACAACTCTGAAGACTTCTTTTTAAAGGAACAGGTTGTTCAAGGTTAGTGAGAGGCAATGAGGAGGAGGAGGCAGTGCATGACTGCTTAAAGTAACAGACATGCCAAAACCAGTGATACTTTTGTGGCCCACAGAGAAGCTCCAAAATTTATTATATTTCTTAATATATTCATAAATTCCCAGATTTGCAGGAGTCAAACTCAGTAGAAGTCATGCATGGATCTTTCTCTTGGATCTGGTCTACACAATCTGACCAAACTAAGTCCAGGGACCTACTGACGCAGGCTGTGTTTCCCTCTGACCTTTGTATCTCATCTTTTCCTCACAAGAAAGCAGGTTAGAGATGGTGCTGTCTCTTTCCAGCCTGGATTTGGGATGTTGTTGGGTTGTTTATGGGAGCTGGGAGCAGGGAAGTGGCCCGTTGACCTTTGGCTCCTAGGATGTGTCCCCTAGGATTGCAAACCTTCCGTCACACCAACCTCAGGAAGCTCCAATGTTGGTCCTTTCCAACATGCTGAACATAGAAGTCTCACTCTTTTCAATCTGAGAAAGTTACTCCATGAGCTAAATGTAATGCAAAAGCTGAAACAAATCCTAGAACTCTTCTGGATTATGAGGAGAACTGGACTAGTTAGCTGAACGCCAGCTGTTGATACGGGAATATAAAAGTTTTCTCCCCATTGATGTAGCCAGACTGGAGAAAATACTGCGGTGTTTCCAATGCTCAGGATGATGGGGCGGTGTAGTGATCCTTGCAAGCTGCTTAAATTCCCTGCCAGCAAAGCAGCTAGGAAATATCCCCTAGCACAGATATAATTATTGAAATCCACAGCCTTGCAGGGCTGAAGATCTAATTGTGTTTCTTGATGGCGGTCTGTTGTATGGGTCTGTAAAGTGCAAAGCACAGCTGTGGAGATGAGATTTTTAAGCAACATGCCTGATCTGGTTTCAGCTGAAATAAAGTTAATTTTCTACCTAGTAGCTGGTATGGTGCTGTGTTTTGGACTTAAGATGAGAATAATGTTGATAACACGCTGGTGGTTTAGTTGTTGCTAAGCAGTGTTTATACTAAGTCAAGGACTTCTCAGCTTCTCATGCTGCCCTGCCAGGGGAGGCTGGGGGTGCACAAGCAGCTGGGAGGGGACGCAACCAGGACAGCTGACCCAAGCAAGCCAAAGGGATGCTCCAAACCATATGATGTCATGCCCTGGGGGCATATAAACTGGGGGGAGTCAGCTGGGGGATGCCGTGGCTTGGAGTTTGGCTGGGCATTGATCAGTGGTGGTGAGCAATTGTATTGTACATCACTTGTTTTGTATATTCTATTATTATTATTATTTTCCCTTCCTTTTCTGTCCTATTAAACTATTATCTCAACCTGTTATCTCAACCCCCGAGTTGTTTGGGTTTTTTATTCTGATTCCCTCCTTCTTCCCACTGGGAGGGGGGTGAGCAGCTGCATGTGCTTAACTGCTGTCTGGGGTTAAACCACAACAACACCATAGCTCGATTATTTGCACCAAAGAATATCCGAAGATAACTTGCACAGACATTTCTTTCATTGCAGTAAAATACTACCAGTAATGGATTCACAGCATTGGCAAGGGAGGAGCCAGTTTCCATGGTAAGTGAGTACTAACAGACCCAAGGCAAATGTTTGGCCTGAGCTGGCTGTTCACTAGCAACATCCTTGGGAAATGCAACATGGTTTTATCTATGAGTCCTTTATATAAAGGGCTGTACTTTCCTCCAGATTTCCATTACTGCAACCCAAATGTCACTATCAGTCTGTGATCAGTGGTTTGAAGATAATTATTTTTTTTTCCTTTTTCCTTATTTTTGGATAAATCCTGTTTTTTTTTTTCACAGTGCATGTCTCATTTTTATTCCAGATGCTGCTTGATCTGTTAAAATTGCTCTTGAAAGGACTTGATGCATCAGTGAACACCCATTAAACAACAGTTGCTCTTTTACCAGGCACTTTTCTGAAGTGTGCAGCATGACAGAGCTCCACGCAGCTGTGGCTTTGGGGGACTATGACCTGGCACGTGAGATTTTGAGGACAGGGCGCTGCGACCCAAATCACAAGGATGTTGACTGGCATGACAGGACCCCACTGCACTGGGCTGCTGTAAAAGGTAAGGGTACCCCCTGTTCTGTTACCTCTGTGAACCGGTGTCGTAAAAGGGGATGATGGTTTCAAATACATCTTGCTATGATGGCAATTAATGCTGGTAGTATTCACAGCTTTATCTGATCATTTTGTCCTTACTGAGAAAAAAAGAGAAAAATACCAATTTAAATGCAAACTTTACCTCCAAAATAATTTCTGGGGTTACCATCAAAGTGATTTTTTTGGATTTTTTTTCCTGTCACTTGAAAACTTACAGTTTACATGGTACGTACATATAGCATGCCTGCTTGTCCCCGACATTACTTTTCTAAGAGGAGTGCAGAGAAGTTATTTCTCATGTACACCTGCACGAATGAGCAGAAAGTCAAACCTGCTGTATTTAAACCAGGTATTTATCAAACCCAATAGAACAAAATAATCGCAGCATGGTTTACATTGTTCTCCCTTTGTCCCACCTAGTTGAGTGAACAAACAGGACCAGAGTTGTTAGCAGCTCCCATTTGGTCCTTCACTGTCAGAAGTGCCTGTTAAATTCAAACATCCCTTTATAGGCCAGAAAAAAGATGAACACAAACCATCTAATGTATAACTGTGCACAGTGTAAAATGGGAAACCGGACCTGTACTCCTCCATGCTAGGGTGTTTGTTACACTTTGGGATCTCACATTGTGGCATCCATCGTTGCTCAGAAATCAAGTGTGTGTTTTGCTGGTTTACACTTGACACCATGTTTTACTTTTGCCCTGATGAATTATTATTCCTTTGGACAGCAGCAAAGGGAACTGAGTTATTTAAGAAAATGATGATGAGATTGGCATGGCCTAGGTTCCATTGGGGACAGTCTAGCTCAGTCAAGGCAGTGTGAAGTGGGGTAGAATTAACTTATTTTGTTTCTTCAAGCAATTCCACAAGTCAGAAAAATATGAAGGTGAATGAAGACAAGTAATTTCTCTATCTCCTATCAAAAAACCCCCTTTGTTTTAGTAAAGCTGTTCACAAGTTTTCCACTTTTTTAACATTTAAATTTTATTTTGCATTGAACTAAAAACCAAAATGAAACAACTGAAACAGTCAATATCCAATTGGTCAATGACTAATTGAGATGTGCTGTTCAGAAATTAGTAGAAAGCTTTTTTGATTTTATTGTTGGTTTTGTTGTGAAAATGCTTCTGGAAACAGTTCAGTTTGGGGGAAAAAAAAAAAAAAAGAAAGCACATTTTCTAATGAGTATCATTTATTTGATAAATCAGATGGCCAGGTCATGGGTAAAATCCATCATTACTTGACTGAGGGAATTATGATCAACTGTCTGTGACCGTCTTCTGCATCCTGAAGGAATAAAGTCTAATGCAGGTGCATCTTCTCTCCCTGTTTCTCTGCCCCACACAAGGGCAATCGGAACTGGTCAAGCTCCTCGTAGATCACGGTGCCCGGCATTGCCTGCGGAGTGATGTGGGCTGGACTCCAGCTCACTTTGCTGCCGAGTCAGGGAGACTGGGAGTGCTTCGCACCCTTCATTCCCTGCATGCTGCCATGGATGCGCCTGACCTCTTCGGTGACACTCCCAAGCGGCTTGCGGACATCTATGGTCACCACGACTGCTCCAGGTTCTTAGAAAAGTGAGTAGCGATGGCTGGTCCCACTGCAGCAGCTGGTGAGGCTCCAGAAATTAAAATTAAATTGACTGCTATATAGAAGATCACAACAAACATGAGTGTGTTACTTATCTTTCCACCTAAAGCCTGTTAAAGCCGTCAAGCATGAGTAGTAAATAAGCAAATATGTGTCTTTGTCAAGGGGGAGACAGTAATTTATTCCACTGCCTTCTGTGGTTTGTCTTGGTATGTTTTCAAAATTGTTACCACTTTGTGACATCATTGTGTTTATAAGGATATTACAGAGCGATTATTAAGCAATGGAAATGAAGGCAAGAACTAAGAAATATTAACCTCTTAGAGTGGTGAATACTGAATACAGAGGTTGAATTAAGAACAGCCCTTTAGTAGTTGATAGTAGTGTATGTATATCATTTGGCTTTTCTTGCAGTAAAGAACAGAGCCATGCATTTTTTTTTTTACATAATTATGGAAATTGAATTATTTGATTGTTAGGAGGATGACCACATATTACTTCCAAATTTTGGAATACTCCTTATTGTCTTAACTGTTTGTGGTTATCACCGTCACACCATATGCAATGACTAATATGCTTTTTTAAGGGCTCCTAATTACCATTCCTGTTTTTCAGCTGCCGATTTGGCTCATGGATATTTTCACCCTTGCAAAACTGTTTCCCTGAATCAGGATGCAGTCCTCCAGAGGTCTGAGCTGTGTCCCATACCTGCATCTTTCTAAAGCAGTGGGACAGATCACCAGAACCAGCTTGTTCAGTCCAAGTCCTAGTCCCATGCCTTACTTGGTATTTAAATACACTGCTTGTGAAACCTGCACATGCCAGACTCTGAGATGCTGAAAGCACCCAAAGGCTTTTCTGTGAATTTAGAGTCCCACCATAGTCCTTAACTGCCATCTTTTTAATTATACCATGGCAACATTCTCAAGACTGCTTTGGCACAATGCAAATCATGGATTTTTTTACAGACACATATCCAACTCAAAAGTCTCCACCTTGCCAGTTCAGGACAAGTGCTGCAAAATTCAAAATCAGGTATGATGCCTGGGCAAATGCCTGAGGTGACCAGTGCCTACCAAATGCCAATTTTCATTAACCCATGTAAACTTTTTTTAAGTACTTCTGTCCTTTTGCTGTACTTCTACAGCTTGTTGATTCCTGCTGAAGTGCTCCCTGCTCACCTGTAATTTGACACAGCATCAGTGTCCTTCCATAGCAAGAGACACTCAAACTGTGGAAAATCCCCCTGTACAGAGCACAGAAACCTTTCTAGGGGAGCCACAGATTCCTCTTTCTGAGCTCTGGCTACTAGAGAAGCTGATGGGACCTTTCACATGCAGGAAACCTTCCAGCTAAAGCCTCACGATTTGTGGAGCTGATGTGCTGCAAACCCTCACTATTCACCCCCTTTCACACACAAGAATCAGCTCTTATTGCCCTTAGACCTTCAGTTTAAAGAAATTTAAACAAGCAGCTGATACATAACTCCGCTACTTAGGTTTTTTTACTACCTAGACTATAGCTGGGATAAACTCATGTTTGCCAGTTCTTTGAGAAGCGGGTGTTTCTCTTTATACTGCTCTCAGATCTTGGCTTGCTTAATTTCTTTATCAGAACAGGTAAATATTGTTTTCCCTGGAGAGTGAAAGGTCTGCAGGCCTTTTGCCCTCGATTAATCATTTATAGCAATTGCTTACCTATTCAACGCTGACATTTTTGCACCAATCTCACCATTAAATCCTGCTTATCAAGTCCTGACAAGTTTTTAGCATTTGACGTGCGCTTGGCTGTGCACCAGAGCTGTGGGGTGAGGTGACAGCAAGGAGGGGGAGAATTGTGAGGATGA